GCCATCTGAATGTCTTCCTTGGTGAAGTGTCTGTTCATATCCTGTGCCCATTTTTCAATTGGATTGTTTACCTTTATCTTGTTGTGGTGCTCAAGTATTTTATAAATTCTAGATATAAATCCCTTATCTGACATTGCTGCTGTGTGCCGTACTTCCTTCTCCAGCGGAGCATCTGGTGGATTCAAACTATGAGCCTTTGGGATTGTAGTGCAGCCTCTTGTCATTAGGCTACCAGAGCTCCCTTCTGAGGCTATGATTCTTACTGGGAAACAGATGGTCTCATGTTTTTCCCATGCAGTAGATGCTGGAATCTAACTATTGACAATTAACAGCCCAATGCATAACAGTACACCATCTGTTGTTGTTGTTGTTGTCGTCGTATGCCGTCAAATCAGAACAACCTCTTGGCTGACTCTCTGGCGGGTTTTCAGATGCAGTTAATTGCATGAGGGGAGACTGCCCATCCTTTTCCCGCAGCGTAGGTAGTGAGTTCAAACCACGTGCCTCTGAGATTGCAGCACAGCTTCTTATCACTGGGTCATAAGAGCTCTTAATTAAAGTCAACATGAGCACAGTAAGTGATAGTAAGAGAAGTGGATATCTGGGGAAACAACGTTCCAGAAGGAACAGCCAGAGCAAAGGCCCTGAGGTGGAAAGATGCTTAACATATTTAAAAAACTAGCAGACAAACAACTATGAGATATCATCTCACCCCAGTAAGAATAGAAAAATTTAACAGAACAGCAAACAACAAACGCTGGCAAGGTTGTGGAGAAACTGGAACCCTTATTCACTGTCGGTGGGAGTGTAAAATGGTGCAACCACTGTGGAAGGCAGTGTGGCACTTTCTCAAAAAGTTGCAAACAGAAATACCATTTGACCCAACAATTCCACTCCTAGGAATATACCCCAAAGAGACCATAACTGCCACCCAAGCAGATATATGCACACCCATGTTTATCACGGCTTTGTTCACAATATCAAAGAGTTGGAAACAACCTAAGTGCCCATCAACAAACAAATAGATAGAGAAGCTGTGGTACATTCACACAATGGAATACTATGCTGCATTGAAAAACAAGGAATTCATGAAATAATATTCAAAATGGGTGACCCTGGAGGACATTATGCTGAGTGAAGTATCTCAGTCAGAAAAGGACAAATACTGCATAGTGTTACTGTTGTAAAACAGGACTGACATCAGGGCTGGGGGGAGACCGAGAAAGAGGGGATAAATTATGTATACTGCACTGAAACAGATGAGGGAGAGAACTGTTTAAAAGGGATATGTGGTTAGGTATTATTGTCATGACAGGAGTCCAGAATGAAGGCTGCATAGTGGAGTGGACCGGGGAGGAGGGACTGTGTAACAATGATAGAATTTTCCTTTTACTTTTCAAAGAGAAGAATGAATTGGAGGGGAGGGGTGGGCAGGGATAAAAGTGCAACAATGTAAGAATGGAAATCCAAATTCTCTCTAAATTTTCATTAAAATTAATAGTACTAATAAAAAAATTTTCATTTAAAAATTAAAAACAACAACAATGCTGTCTTAGTAAGTGAGAGGGCAGGCAGGAGGAGGTGAGGGTAACTGCAAGAAGCCAGGTCAGATGGAGGCTTAATAAGGACACCGAGGCTCTATGAGACTAATACAGACCGTTCCCACAGAGTCCATTCCATCTTCTACAGCAAGCTACCATCCTAAGCATTTTCTGTATGTTAATTCAGTCACTTCACTTCTCAAGGGGGCTCTGGTGGTGTAGGGAGTTATGTAGCACAGTTTGAATCCACCAACCGTGAGAAGGATGGGCAACCTCCTTCTGTGCAATGTATGGCCTCTGAAAACCCTCTGGAGGGGCAGCTATGGGTTGGTTCCAGCTTGATGCAACAACAATGGTGGGGATGAGGAGGAGCTTAAGCCCTGGAGGGTCCAGCAGCCCTGAGCCCTCCTGTCTCTCCTGTTAACCCCTCAGGACCTCCAGGTCTCCTGCCTCAATGCTGAGCAGAACCAGCACCTCCGAGCCTCCCTGAACCGCCTACACCAAGTGGCACAGGTAACAACGTTTTGCAGCACCTTGGTACCATGGCTCCTCCTGGCACTCGTGGGCCCTGACCACTGTCTCCGTCCTCAGCACGCCCGGTCCCAGAATGTCAGGCTGCTCGTGGATGCTGAGTACACCTCGTTGAACCCTGCGCTATCTTTGCTGGTGGCTGCCCTGGCCAGGCGCTGGAACAACTCCGGGGAGGATGGGCCCTGGGTCTGGAACACTTACCAAGCCTATCTAAAGGTATACATTAAACTTTTTGGGGATCGTGGCCTAGTGTCCCAGCACCCTGACCCCCACCTGCCCTGCCAGGACACACACGAGAGGCTGAAGCAGGATGCTGAGGCTGCAGAAAGGGCTGGCTTGGCCTTTGGAGTGAAGCTGGTACGAGGAGCTTACCTGAACAAGGAGAGAGAGGTGGCCCAGATCCAGCAGACTGAAGACCCCACACAGCCCGACTATGAGGCCACTAGTCGGAGGTAGGACTGAGCCAGGAGACATAATAACAACAACTAAGATTTAGTGAGGGCTCCACATCCATTGGAGTTCTGGTGAGGAGTTGCGCTGCCAGTTGGAAGGCATGAAGTTCAAATCGACTAGCTGTTTTGTGAGAAAGATAGGCAATCCTTTCCTGTATGGTTTACAGCCTCTGAAAACCCACTGCAGGGTCAGCTATGGGTTGGTTCCAATTCAATGGTATACAACTACCAACACAATTACACCCATCAAGCTCTGTGCTTGTGTGTTTAGCTATCACTCCCTGTTGGTCCAGGACACATCACTACCCATGTGAACCAACAAGGGGCCCTCTTTCTTTGCTCCCATCCTGTACCTCGCAGGAAGTCAGAGAGAGCAGTTATTATCAGAGCCAAATCATGTCACTCCTACACTTGAAACTCTTCTATATCCTTCACTCACTCTCAATAAATCCTAAACAAAATAATCAGGTCCACGCACCTTCTCATCTGCCTCCCTTTCCCTGTCTCACTCCAACCACAACAGCCTCTTGCTTGATACCAGGACCTTTCTTCCCAGAAAATTCTTCTTTCACAAACAACTCAATTCTTCACCTTCCTAAGTCTTGATTCACTGGTACCTTCTCTGGGGTCCCTTCTCCTCTCACTATCAAAACATGGACCACCTGCACCCACTTTTTGTTTTGTTCTTGGTTTTCTTTCTCTCTCTCTCTCTTTTTTTTTCTCTCCTTCTTAGCACTTTGAGTATCTGAGATTCTGTAAGGTGCACGTATCCAATTATTTCTGTCTTTCTCCTCCAGGAGAATGTGGGTCCAGGAGAGCAGAGGTTTCTGGTTTATTCACATAAATGAACTTGGGCTTGGAATCATGCCTGACACATGCCACATATTTGGTAGATATCTGCTGAATGAATGAACAAGCAGCCCCCAGAGGCAGATACCAGTATTATTCCTACTTCAGAGGGCAAGAAACTGACATCAAAGAGATGTAATCAGTTATGCAAAGTCTCCAAGCTATTAAGTGGTTGTTGTTATGTGCTGTCCAGTCCAAACAAACTCAAAACTGGCCCTCAAAACTGGCCCTCCAGCAGGTTTTCAGTCACAAAGGAAGAGACTACCCCTCTTTCTCCTGTGGAGCAGCTGGTGGGGTCAAATCTTGTGCCTTTGGCTTTGCAGCACACCTCCTTTTCACTCAGACCCACCAGAGCTCCCCAACAAGTGGCAGGGCCAGGATCTGAGCCCAGGAAAATGGGCTCTAGAAGTTGCTTTCTTACCCTCCCTATCAAATTGCCCCGTGCTGGATGTCCACTGCTGGTGAGGTCCTTGAATCCCTATTCTTGAGCTCTGGGAAGAAGTTTGCTCCTTTAGCATACACTGGTTGACCAGTGATTCAACTTAAGATCTGTGCTGAACCCTGGGCTCATAGCAGTGATCAAAGGTGGTCCCATGTCCCTGTCCTCGTGGAGGAAAGCAGTGTTCTATTTTACAGTGGAACAAACAGAGGTTTGTAGAGCTGGAGGGACTTCATAAAGGTACAGAGAAGGGCTACACCATGATGGGAGCCCAGGATTGCACACAAATCTCACACGGGCTTCTAGGCACATATATGCCTACAGGCTTAATAACTGGTACCATTAATTTTTATTGAGATGCAATTTACATACCAAGAAAGTCATCCTTTGAAACTGTACTGCTCAGTGACTTTTTGTGTATTTCCAAGACGGTATAACTACCAAATTCCAGAACATTCCATCATTCATTAGCAGTTTCTCCCTCCTCCCAGCCCCTGGAAACTACTATTCCATGTTCTGCCTCTCTAGATTTACCTATTCTGGATATTTTACATAAATGGAACCACTTAATATGTGGCTTTTTTCTATCTGGCTTCTTTTGCTTAGCATAATGTTCCATGGTCATCCAGAATGTCATATGCCAGTACTTCATTCTTTATGACTGAATAATATTCCACTATATAAGGGAGCTCTGGTGGCCCAGCGGTAAAAGCCATGCTGCAATCCCAAAGGCATGTGATTCTGTTCCACCAGCCTCTCTGCAAAAGGATAGGCAATCTCCTATGTGATACACTGCCTCTGCAAACCTACTCGAGGGTCAGCTATGTATTGGTTCTGACTTGAGAACACATAACAAGACCATATGTATGTAAGAGAGCTCTGGCAATATAGTGAATAACCCTGGGCACATGTCATCTTGTGCGGGAGATAGTGAATAACCCTGGGCACATGTCATCTTGTGCGGGAGATAGTGAATAACCCTGGGCACATGTCATCTTGTGCGGGAGATGGTAACCCTGTACTGTGAGACTGCCACTGAGTCACTTTCCTCATCCACACATCCACACGACAGGGTCGGTAGATTAACGCGCGCTGTTCAGAAAGGGGGGAAAGGGCTCAAAGAAGGGAAGTAACTTAACCTTCAATATGACCTTCAACACAGCTGGTTCAGGAGTGAGAGTATTCTTCTGACTTCAAAGAACCTCATCTTCCCAAGTACCAATCCCTGGGGCCCAAGCTCCACTGAATGTCTGAGCTGAATCCAGTTTATCTCTGCAGTTACAGCCGCTGTCTGGAGCTGATGCTTACTCATGTGTCCCGTCGTGGCCCCATGTGCAGCCTCATAGTGGCTTCCCACAATGAAGAATCTGTGTTTCAAGCAACCAAACGGTAGGAAGCAGGAGAGGGAGAGGGGACATAGGGTCCTACATGAGGGCTCTTCCTTCTCCCTTGTTCACATCCCAGGCAGAAGATAGTGAACAAGGGACAAGGCAAAGAATGATACAAAGCCACTAAGTCTAGGAGGGACCTCAACATATTTAATAACTGGAAGTCATATATTTATACAATGACTGCCTTTCAGCTCTGGGTCCGGGTGTACCTCTTTTTTGCAGTATGTGGGATCTGGGTATCCCTCAGGACGGACCTGTCTGTTTTGGACAACTTCTGGGGATGTGTGACCATGTTTCTCTAGCACTGGGTATGTGACTGGCCCATTCCTCTCATCAGCCCTCAGTCTCTCACAGCTAGATCTCTTCTCCCTTTCCAAAGCAATGCCTGGCCAAGTCCCCATCAGAGTCACATTTCCAGATAAGTCAGTTGTCCACATATCTGCAGGCTGTCCAGAGCTGTCTGCTATCTTGTTCTTCTTTTCAGTCTCTCAATCACAGTGTCTTTTTCCTTCATACTTTATTGCTTTTGCTAAGCTGCTTCCCATTTCTTGAGATAAAAAGATTCATGTTTTTTTCTGCCAGGTACTATTGCTCTTGTTGTTAGGTGCTGTTGAGTTAATTATAGATCAGAGATCTGTACTGTTGTTGTTATGTGCCATCTGCAACTCATAGTGACTCTATGCACAATAGCTCTGAACCCTGCTCTCTAAGCAACACAAAATCATTAAACCTATACTCACCCTATAGAAATATATCATGTATATCTAATCTAATCATATTATTTGATCTGTGCAGCAACTAACCCATGGTTATCATCACTCAGAGATAAACTTTGTTGTTGTCTTCCTTGCTCTGCTTGTTGCTAAGGCCATTCCCTAGTAGGCAGATGTAACTCTTAAGTTTCACCCTGAAGTTGTAGCCTTTCTCTTAATTGTTAGATTGATCATTCTTTCCTCTTTTGGCTATCACTTTAAGATTCGTTTTAAGTTTGTTCTAGAATTATAGGGCTTTGGTTTTGCTTTAAATTGAGAAGTTTGTCCAACTCATCTAGTCTGTCAGGCTGTCAGAGGTGAAAGTCTGTTCTAAATGGGTCATAGAAGAGCCACCCTACACTCTGCCCACCCTCTCACCCACCCCCAGGCCAGGCTGGCTATGCTGTGTATAAGTCAATCCCCTATGGCTCCCTGGAGGAGGTCATCCCCTACCTGATCCGGAGGGCCCAGGAGAACCAGAGTGTGCTGCACGGTGCCCGCAGAGAACAGAAGTTGCTTGGCCAAGAGCTAAGGCGGAGGCTGCTGGGGGGTGCCTGAGAGACTGCCATCTGCATCCATGATGGTCAATAAAAGTCTTGAGCCACTGCCCAAGCTGTTGCCTGAAGCCACCTCTTTGGGAAGGGTTCCTCAGGACCCAGAAATGAGAGGGTGACACCTCCAGGCCCTGACTCATAGGGGGAGGAAGATATGGGTTCTGTGTGAGCAAGTAAACTGTCTGTGGACAGCTGAGCCCAGGGTTCTCAGTGTTATGATACAGGAAACAAACCCAAGTAGTCAAGATTGCTGGGGAAAGATAGTGCAAAACCAGGCGAGGTAACTGAGGAGGCCTAGGAGTGATCAAGAAAGCCTGCTGGACGGGAATTCATAAGTAAAGAGCATTCAGAGTAAAAGCAGGTTCAAAGACTGAGAAATAAGAAACAGATTGGGGAACAGGAAGACAAGGCCAGAGGAACCCGCAGGACCAGAGGATGCAGTCTTAGAAGCCAGGCTGCAGGATGTGGCCTGTCCCATAGGAACTAGGGAATCAAGGAGAGTTTTAAGCAGGTGAGGGATAGGATCTATCCAGCTATCACGTGAAGGGTTGAACAGAGAGGGAGACTGAAGATGGGAGGTGAAGAGAAGATGGCAAGGAAGCAGGACTGGGCTGTGGGGACCGGAGGAGGGGGCTGCTGGAAAGCATAGGAGATCAATGGGAACTCGGTCTTCAGGGAGAAACCTAGGACTCAGGCTTGCAAAGGGAGACTGTGAGGTTGATCTTGAGGCAAAGACAAGAGAAGAAGGGCAAATCTGGAGAGAAACTGAGGTCAGTGTGGGTACCAGTGGGTGTGAGGGTCTCAAAGGACCTTCAGGGGAAGGTCTTCAGGATTCAATGGATTGAGACCCCTAGTCTGCACCTCAGGGAAGAGGATGAAGTTAAATAGTGAGGGCAACTGAGAAAAATGTAGAAGCTAGTAGAAGAGAATGAAATACAAGGATCAGGAAGGAATTGGGTGGCCTAGTGGCAAAAAGCTGCGCTGCAATCCCAAAGGAAGGGATTGGAGTTTCCAAAGAGGACCTCCAGGGTAAGGGAAGCAATGTGCAAGGCTGAACCCAAAGCTCTCAGGTGGACATAAGACACGATCGCCTCTTCCTGGAGGACATTGCAGGTCGGTAGCACATGCTCCTCTCTGCGCAAGCGTGGCAGGAAGCCACTGGTGCGCATGCGCCCAGCGCTCATCTCGCTGCCACAAATAGTGCTCGTCACGTGGCAGCCACGTGGGGATCACTATCCCTGTGGTGCCCAATGGTGAGCACTTGAACGAAGTTTGGTTCAGAGAAGTGCCCCCCTCTCGTTTTTAGTAGACCCTCAGATTTCCACCAGACTCCTCTCCCGGGCTGCAGACTCCTCTCCCAGGCCTTAGACCCTTTCCTCAATCTTCAAACCTCATTCCAATCGCCAAACCCTCCTTAAATTGCAGAGACCCCTACCCTTTATTAGATCCCATCTCCCATTCTACAGACTCTCCCTGGAGCCCATATAGTACTCACACCCTCCCAGCTTTCTATAGAGCCCACCCCCAGCATGCACGCACATCCTCAATCCTGGGACCACACCTCCCACCCACAGAACCTCTCACAGTACCCCCTCTGCCTGTCTTCTCTCTTTTATGGCTACTATTGCCCTCTGGCCCCACCCAGTCTCCCGGGCCCTTTTCCTCAGTTAACCACCGACTCTCCCCTCTTCCCTTCTAGAAATCTACCTCACAGCTTGTATTGTACATGTCCCAATCCTTCTTAGATCTTAATCTTCTGGCCCCTTTTCTTCCAGCTAGTAACCTTCAGACTTTCTTCTCTAAACCCTAAAATTCCTTTTCCAGGCCCAGACCCAACTCTCCTAGCTCTTTCCTACTCTTAGGTGCCCCTCTCAGTCAGTGTCCAGTCTTCAGATTAGCTCACAGGCCAGCCCTCAGAACCCACTTTTTATCATTAAAGCATCTCCCTCCACATCCCATGCCTCTTACATTCCTTTCTCCTTTCAGACTACTCACTTTGAGCCAGTTCTCTCTCATTTCTGACGTAGCACTTCCTCCTGTCTTCATGAAGCCTCCAGTTGGTCCCTTCCCAGGAGTTGAGTTCCCAGTTCTCAGATGTCCTGGCTGCCACCTTGTTTTCCCATGGAGCTGAGCCCTGCCCAGGACCCAGAAACCCTGGTGGGTCGTCTTCATTGACTGGCTGTAACTAAAAGCCCAGGCTGGGCCCTTGCCGGGTTTCTTGGAAGAGGTGAGGGGCTTGGTCATGGGCATGGGAGAAGGGTCACGCTGCTATGAACATTGGTGTACAAGTCTCTGTGCCTCAGTTCTCATTTTCTAAGGTTGGAGAGAATGTGGCGACATAGGAACTCTTATACACTGTTGGTGAGATTGTAAAATGGTACAACCACTCTGGAAGACAGTTTGGCATTTCCTAAAAAAAGCTGAACATAGAAATTCCACATGACCCAGCTATTCCACTGCTTGGAATATATATTGCTTTATTTTTTATAGTAAAGGGAATGAGACTGTATTTCTGCATTACATATCATGCCTATGCTAGGATTTTGGCCTGTAATTTTCATTAAGTAAAGTAAGCTCCCATCTAAGTTCCCTTTTCCCTATCATAAGTAGATCTGGCGATCTAGTTTTGAAAAAAAAAACAAACCCAACACTGCATGAAACTCTTATGAATAGCAAGATAAAATTGTCTTATACAGTGCCAGATGTTGGACCGCTTAGGTTGGAAGACACCCAGTGGATAACTGAGGAAGAGCCGCCTCCTCAAAGTAGAACTGGCTTAAATGACATAAGTGGAGTAAAGTTTTCAGCACCTTCATTTGCCTGTGTGACATGACTCAACATGAGAAGAAATAGCTGCAAATATCCATTAGTAACTGGAACATAGAATATATGAAAAAATTATTGTTGTTGTTGTTTGTGTTAGATGCTGTCAGGTTGAACACGACTCATAGTGATGCTGTGAACAAAAAATCTGAACCCTGTTCTATCCTGCACCATCCTCACACTTCCTGACACACAAGAGCCCATTGCAGCAGTCACCATATCAATCCACCTGGTTGAGGGTCTTCCTCTCCTCCACCAACCCTTTACTCTTTCTAGCATCATGTCCTTCTCCAAGGAATATCACCCTCCTGGTATCATGTCCAAAGTACATGAGACAAAGCCTCATCATTCTTACCTCTAAAGAGCACTCTGGCAGCACCGTGTCCAAGATATATCCTTTCATCCATGGGACATTCAGTGCTCTTCTCCAGCACCACAGCTCAAAGGCATCAATTCTTTTTCTGTCATCCTTACTCGTTGCCCAGCTCTTGGATGCATAGCTAGTAATCAGAAAGAAAAACTGGAAGGTTTAAAAAATGAAATAGAACATACTAAGTGAGCTGAAATTGACTAGTGTTGGCCATTTTTAATATAAATCATACGGTCTAGTACACCTGGAGTGACGAATTGAAAAGAAATAGCATTACATTAATTATCAAACATAGCATTTCATAGTTAATAGAGGACATTTCAGTGTGTCTAGAAAAATGTATGGAAAAAAATATATATGAATTTTGTATGTAGACCAGTATAAAATAAAATAAAATAATTTTTTTAAATAGCATTTCAAAAATCTACACTGAAGTGCAGCCTTGCCAACAATAATAGTCATATGTCTGCAAAGAACAGTTAATGCAACTATTATTCACATTTACCCACCAATCACTAATGCTAAAGATGAAGAAATTGAAGATTTTTTTCCTTTAGAAGTTGAAGATTTTTACCAACTTTTGGTCTAAAAGTAATCAAATATGTACTCAAGATGTATTGATAATTATTGATGATTGGACTGTGCAAATTGGCACAAAACATTGGTAGTTAGAAAAGATGGCTTTGGTGATAGAAATTCTGGAGATCATATGATAAAATTTGTTGACCCAGTGACTTATTCATTGCAAATACCTTTTTTTCCAGCGGTATAAATGGTGACTGTGCACACAGACCTTATTATAGGAATGTAATCAACTAATACTGTGCTGATTATAGAACAGACTATCAATTGCTTATATGCAAGTTTAAGTTTAAACTGAAGAAAGTTAAAGCAAGTCTATGAGAGTTAAGGTATATCCTGCTTGAATTTAGAGACTAACTCAAGAACAGTTTTTATGTTCTGAATGTTGTTGTTGTTGTGTGCCATCAAGTCTTTTGTGACTCGGAATTCTATGTACAACAGCTCCGAACCCTGCTGTATCTTAAGCCAACCTCAACGTCTCCAACACCCCCACTCCCATTACCATAGTCACTGAGTCAATCCATCTCATGCAGGATCTTCCTCTCCTGTGCCTTTCCAAGTATGATATCCTCTCCAAGAACTGTTTCCTCCTTGCAACATGCCCAAAGTATGTCAGATGGAGCTTCAAAATCCTTGACTTCAAGGAGCAACTGGGCTTCACCTTCTCCAGGGCAAACCTGTTCTCTTAGCAGTTTGTGGTATATTCAGCACTCCTCTTATGGATTACATCAAGGATATAATATATGAGGAAAGCAAACAATGATCAGACAAATAGAAAAGAAAAGAAAAAATCAACATGGATAATTTAGTCTCTCAGAAGAGACTAAAAATATGATTAGGAAAGAGCTGCCTGAAACTTGCTTTTGAATGTAGAATATCTGTAGAGAATGGAAGCAATGATAACGTCAAAGGAGAAATAAGGCAGCTTGAGATGATAAAGTATTATAATGGAATTTGCAAAGATTGGAGTTAAAAAAACCAAAGGAGGCGAGCTCTGGTGGCCTAGTGGCAAGAAGCTGCACTGCAATCCCAGAAATGAGCAGTTCAAATCCAACAGATGCTTTGCTGGAGAAGGAGGAAAATCTCCTGTACCAGTCAAATCTGATTTGACGCTATATACGCGCGCACACACACACACACACACACAAATAATAAAAATTTAAAAATAATAAATAAATAAATACCCCAAAGGAGTCAGCAGCAGCCAACACGTCATCAGCAGCCATGGATCAGTCCATTAACTAGGTACTTTGATTGAGGTAATCACTGCTGTTTAACTAGACAACGCGGGATCCCTTAAGATTAAGCGGAAGGGAGCAGGACAGCTGGAGCAGCTCGAGTGAGGCGGAGGAGCCAGTTCTGGAAGGGAAAAACCAGGACTTGTTGGTTTCACATTCAAATACTTTGGGGGATCACTGCTGTTTGGCACTTGGCTTTCCAGGCCTTGGACAAAGAAAGGAGCACAAATATACAGGTCCATCACTAAACATTGCCATACTCTTGATCACTATAAAACAACAACCTAACATCTACTAAGAAAAGGCTCACAAGAAAGCAGCAGTCTACCTCAGGTATCATGAAAAAACAAGATAACTCTTCCTTAAAAAAGCAGACTCAAAAAAAAAAGCAGACTCAATGAATACCCCAGATAGAGAGAACCAGAAGAAATATGTTGACGTGAAGTTATCTGAACAGCTACAGAAGATGCAAATGACAGAAGAAATTAAGAAAACAAATACCCCAGAGACAATTGTTATCTGGCGTTGAGTTGTTTGCGACTCATAGCAACCCTATGTACAACAGCCCTAAACTCGGCTCTGTTCTGTGCCAATCACACTGTCTCTGACACACCCATCCAGATTATCCCAGTCACTGAATCAATCCACCTCATAGAGGGCCTTCCCCTCCTGCGCTGTCCCTCCACCCTCCCAAGCATGATGTCCCTCTCCAAGGACCAGTCCCTCCTCAAAACATGTCCAAAGTATGTCAGACGAAGCCCCAGAATCCTTGCCTCCAAGGAGCCACCCCGTTTAACCCTTTCCAGGATGAATCTGTTTGTTTTCCTAGCAATCCATGGTACTCTCAATACTCTTCTCCAGCACCACAGCTCAAAGGCATCAATTCTCCTTCTATCCTCCTTGGTCATTGTCTCTCCACTCTCCAGCCCCCAGGGCAGGGCCACCCTGTGACTGCAAGCCATCTGAATGCCCCTGGGATCCAGCCTGAGGTGCTGTTGGCTGACCTTCAGTATTGCACCTACTGTTGCCCAGCCCAGCTCACATAGCAGCCTTGGCCTTTCCAAAGCAAGTGTTTCATAAGCAGAAGACCAGAGTCTTGCCATAAATAATGCCTCCTAAATAAGTCTTCACTCTGGGCCAGCAACTGGTAGGGAGCTTGTGTATGGTTGTGACCACTGTCCCCTACTGGAAAGTGACCACTGGCTGTGTTTTCTAGGCCTCAGGGAAGAAATGGGCAGGAGGAAGGGCACCATCAGTGTGGTACAAGTTGGGTGTCCAGCTCTACTACTGCTGGGCCGTGTGACTCTGGCTGTGTTTCTCTGCCCAGTGGCTAGCACAGACCTTTAGGGTCACAGCACGTGGCGATCTGTGTTCAGGAGCAGCCCCCACCCAGCGGGTTGGGACCTCCTTGTGCATAGTCTGCCCTTACCCCACAGCACCCTGAACCATCCCAGCCTGTTGCTGCTGTTGACCCTGAGCCTCTGCGGACTTGTTGAGGCTATGCTTCCTCATCGAGCCTTGCAGCTGGGCTCCCTGCACATGCTGCTTCACGCACAGGGCTCAAGGCACAGAGGGGCCCAGGCTGTGGGGGTCCTGTTGCCTGGCCATCTTCTGCTGCAGGTGCTCAAAGCCCTGTGGTTCCTGCAGGCCCGCTGGCGTGCTCATGGTGGCCTCAGCTTCTACATTGTGCAGCTGGTATGGCCCGGCCTGGTCAAGGTGGGCAGTCTGGAGCACAGGTGCCCCCAGCACCATCGTCAGCTGTCGTCGACACCTGCATGTAGCCCTGTCTGCACAGCCTGAGACTTACCACACTCCTTGGGTTCCCCAAGTCACAAGCAGGGCTACCCCTGCCCTATCAGCTGTACCCTTGGCTGCCACTTGAGCTGATCTGTGATGACGTGCCTGCCATTACCTCAGACCTCTACAGCTTTGACATACTGGCCCAAGAGGTCTTCACTGGTCAGTGAGTGACACTGGCCCCTTACCTCTACTGAAGCACACTCTCTGTTGATTCCCCCAGTCATACTTATCCACAGGAGAGCTGCTTGGAGCTGGGAGAGAAGGGCTTTGAAGTCAAAGCCAAGCTGGAGGCAGGTGAGAGCCTGGCTCTGGACCCCCTGGTGTCAGGCCCCTACCAGGCCCTGGTGCAGGCTGGGCTGGACCAAGAGCCTGCTGACAGATGGGGCAGCCTGCATAGCACATGATACCTGCAAGGGGAGGCCATAGCCAAGGTATAGCCAGGCAGACAGGAGCTGGGATGCACCTGTGGCCAGGCCACCACCCAGTGGCCAGGCCACCACCTTGTAGCCAGCCTTCTCTACAGGACTTGGCTACTGAGACAAGCTCTCAGAGAAATCAGGCCACACTGACACCCCCTCCCCAACCGCAGAGTTCTGCACCAGGTGAGAGGGTAATGATGGATGCTGGGCACAATTGGGTTGTGCTCCCCATTCTATCCCCCTTGTGACATTGCACTGCAAGTGGCTCCTGAAGCCAAATCCAGACCCAGATCCATGTCCCCTATGTTGTTTTCATATCCCATCCCAGGTAGGAGCCAGGTGGGCCTATAGAGGACCAAGGAAGCTGTGTGGTACCAGGTAACCCAATCTGTCCATTTCCATAGGCCCCAGCCACCCCTGAGATCTTGGGCCACAGCAGGCTGCAGCTCTGACCCCAGCCTCAGCTGCTGGCCAGATGCCCAAGAGACCACATCCCCAGGCCCTTCCACTCCCCTCTCATCCCTCATCTGAACCAACCCAAAGTTCCCTGGCTGCCTTTTCTTGGACCACATGCTCCCACCACCACCACCACCAGGTACTCTCACCTGTTCCCTCCCTTATCTGTGACCAACCTAGTGCCCCTCCCTGGACTCTAGCATTCAGGATTTAGCATCTCTGCTGGGACCTCCAGCTCTGTGGAGTAGTTAAAGAGGAACTTCTCTTAGCCCCTTGCATGTAGCCCTGCTGGATCTCCAAGCCCTGTGAGGTCACCTCAATGACTGTCAAAGACTTCTCACACCCTGGGAAATGTTTGGAGCAGAAGGATTGAGGAGTGGCAGCTCTCCTCTTTTCCTCCTGTCGGCATCCAGGCCTGAGATGATCAAAGGTGGTTCTTTCTTGAGCCAGCAGAATTGAGAATCGGAGTTCTTGATAGGGGCCGGCTCCTCTCCTCCCCACGTAACCCTGGTTCTCCCTCCCTACTACTCTTCAGGATGGATCTTCATGGCAGAGCTTTGAGGCGGCTTCCAACCCTGGGAGGGCCCAGCTTCAGCCCTATTTCCTCAGTTTCACCCCCTTCTCGGCCCTATCTCTGCAGATGGCACCCCTCAGGGCCTCCCAGAGTGACACACCTTGGTGCTTGTCCAGAGGAAATAAAGTGATGAGGCATTCCCATCCCTCTGCCTCTTCCCTCACAGAGCCTAGCCCAGCATGATGCCAGCAGGTGCGTTTTCACCATTTTTATTCATTAACTTTGTGAGGTGGTTTAGTTGGGGGGTTGGGGGCGGGAATGGGCAGGAGATACCCCCGAATCCCCTGTGTACAAGGTAGGACACACTGAGGCTCCTGGGGGGTAAGGAAGGGCAGGGTGTCAGCCCAGCCCACTTCCAGATTTGTGCAAGGGTCCCCAGGGTGGAGAAGAGGGTACAGGTGTGCCCTTGAGCCTAGGCAGTTGAGGGATCCACATCAGAAGCAAGTTACAAAGTTAGAAACCTGGGACAGGGCTCAGGAGCTCAAGAAAATACAAAATACAGCATGGGGCTGGGCCAAGATCCAGTGAGGGGGAGGGGAGGGAAGAAGGCCCCTCCCAGCTCTGGCTCAGCAGTAGCTTCGGGTCTGGCCTTCAGAGTGAAGGGACCAGCTGGGAGTGGGGTAGGGGGGTGGGGGACCAGCCCCCTCCCCTCCTTGACCCCCATTCCTATACAAAGACCCCCGGTGATGCACACTCCCCCTCCCATAGGCTGGTGGGGATGCCCTGTAGAGCAATAGGGGTTCTGGTGGGGCCCAGGGCCCAGGTGCTCTATGGGGAGTGCGGGGACACCAAGGGGGCCGCTGTTTCTGGGGAAGGCGAGGAGCTGGAGGCCCAGGATCTGAGCGGCTTCGGGGGTGAGCAGGGGGTGATGAGGAACTGGAGGAGGCAGGTGAGGTCCCCCTGGGCCCCAGAGCTAGATTTACATAGAGGGGCTCAGACCGCATAGGACGCTGAGCAGGGTGCTGGGAGGCTGAGTAGCTAAGGTGGTCATGTGGGAAGCAGGAGGGTGGTGGTGGGTAACTGAGCAGAAAATCGGGGGATCTGGTAAGTGGCGGTGATTGGCCAAGCATGCCATAGGAGGCATTGAGCCTGTCGGGGGGCATGGAGCGGAAGGGACTCCAGGACCGAGTGGGGCCAGAGTAGGTAGCACTTTCACCACCTCCAATCTCATAGTAAAGGTTTTCCCCCCTGTCAAGTGGTGCCAAGGGGCTTCTCCACACGGGGGCGGGGGGACTGGGCTGAAAGGATGGAGCACTCAGGGGGTACAGGCCTGGCTTGGGGACCCTGAGAAAGGGTGGCATGCACTCCCGGGGGGTTGAGGAGAAGAAGCTCGGGGGAGGAGCCTGTGAGGGGGCAGAACATGGTGACTGGGCTGCCATTATCCTTGGTGGGTCCCTGCAGCCCCTGCCAGCTCTGAACTGGGCACTAACCTGGGCAGCACCTCTGAGGCCCCTCCGGGGGGGCCCTGTGGGCTGCTGGCTTCTCACCAGGCTCCCATCGCTTTGCTGCCTTGGTAGGTAGGGTGGGGGTCCTGGGGCCCAGGCCCCAAGGTGAGATACCAGGCTGGGGGAGAGCCCACTCCCTGAGGTCCCTGGGGAGTCGCCACCCACCTCAAGGGATAGTGAGCGTCGGAAAGGGGAGCGGGGAGCTGGGGGTGTACCCCCATGCTCCTGTTGGCTCTGTTTCTGGGCCACTTGCTGAGCCCGCTCAGCCAGGGCCAGGGCCATGAGGCGTGCTGGGTTCTTGGGGGGTGGGGGCGGAGCCCCCCCAGACCGCAGTAGGGACAAGGGTGGGGGCAGCAGAGGAGATTCTGTCCCAGGATCTACACAGAGAGGAATGGGAGTGGGCTCAGTGAAGTCTCGGGCACAGCCTGGGCGTCTGTGAGGATACGGGTGTGCCCAGCAAAACTCACCAAGCTGGGCCTGGGGCGCCCGGAGGTCAGGTAGGGCCAGCTTGTTGCAGATCTCCTGTTGGCAGTTGTCGCTCAGCTGAGTGTCCGCTCCCCGCAGCAGCATGGGGATTAGGTGGGGTCGCAGACTTGGGCCCGGGCTGAGGGCTGGTGGCAGGGGTGGTGACGGGGTCACCGAGGCAGATGTCCCTCCAGCCCCCAGTAACTCCAGCACTGCAGGGGGCACCGAGACAGCCAGGGGCTCTGAGATGTCCAGGGCAGCAGGGGAGGCTGGGCTGGCCGGCCCGCGGGGTGAGAGGGCCTGGGGGGTAACCTTGGGTGGGAAGGCAGAAGCGGAGGCTGGAGGGGCTGGGCTGGCTGGGGGAGCGGGGTCCCCTGGGGTGGGGCTACTGCAGCGGAAGGTGAGGGGATCAAAGTCAAGCCCCCGGAGCCCCTCGAGGCAGCGGGGTGGACTGAAGTCCAGCTCATCCCCATCATCCAGCCAGGCCGAGGTGCGGTGTGAGGGGGACCCGGAGGGTGCTCCCAGGCCAGCTGCTGAGGATGAGGAGGACGAAGAGGACGACTCTGAGGAGGAAGATGAAGAGGAAGTGGACAGGCTCTCACAGGAACCCGCGGGCGCTGGACCCACAGGGAAAGCATCGCTGCTCGAGTGGGGTCTTCGGAGCCTGTGCAGCCTCTGGAAGCCTGGAAGGGTGGGGGTGAGAATACTAGAGGTCAGAACTTCACATCCTTCTACACTGGTGAAAATAAAGCACACAATCCATCAGAAAGCTGGGGAAGAGACACAAAGAAGCACTTCCCTGTCGAGGCTCACAGATGATTATAAAATGACAGGCAAAACCATTCCAGACTGAGTCAGCCAGCACCGTGGGTGGTGAGCACCAGGCCCACAGGCTCTCATTCTCAACCGATGAGAGTCCAGACTGAATCGGTGACTTTTGGAAAAGAACTGGACTGTGTCCACCTGAACAGGGCACACCCTAGAGAAAAACCTCTCAACTCCTGGGCAGATGACAGAGCCACTTCATAGAAGTGAGGGCACATCAGGTTCCACTCCTAAGAACCTCTGACTCTGCTGGTAGTAAGGTGTTAAGTGACGAGATGAAATAATGGAGGAGATGGGGCTGAGCCACATTGTATAGGGTGGGTAGTTTACGTCAGTTGTAAACGGGGGGGTGGGGGGTTGGGAGGATCAAGTTCCACATACAGCATGATGCCTTCTTGTAGTTCTCCTTAGATAAAGTTTCAAAAAGGATTGAACTTGAACCACAGGTTTTAGGTAAACAACTGTATATGGTAAAGCTTCAGAACAAGTCAATGAATGCCTCTGGCAGAAGATGGCAGGTACAAAAGGTGAGGCACTCAGGGGAAATTCTTGATCTGGCATTGGCCATGGGTGTCATAATTTAATTTTTTTTCTTTTTTTGGAAAAAAAAAGTCATTATGAAAGGACCAATAATTAAGAGTGTCACAAAAGGAGATGCTTTATCCAATTCCTTGTACTTCATGTTCTGATTTAAAAAAATGTTAAAACTCCAGACCCTTAAATTTGAAGTACAGCATTTAGAAGCCAAGTGCAGGATCTCAGCACATCCCAGCTCCCTCCAGTATGGCCCACCCACACCCTGTGCTCACCAGCCCCACTGGCCTGCGATGACAGAGACTCCTCACTCTTGGCAGACCTCAGTGTGACCGTGTCATTTCGGCTGCCTGCAAAGAGAAGCCGGTATCACGGGAGCAGTCCACACACAGCCTGCCCTGCACTGCCTGCCCGGCCTCTGACCTGAAGGCTGCGATGGGGTGCGGGTGCTCCCCAGCCAAGGGAGAGGCTTCATTCGGGGGACGCCAGGGCCTCGGCCCAGCGCAAAGAAAGTCTTCCAGCTGCTGACCCCGGGCTTCCGCTGCTTCCCTCCTCTCTCCCGTTTCCTCCTGGGGTTTGGGTGAGACACATTGAACAGTGTGAGGAGACCAGGCCTCCAGGCCTGTCCTCTGCCCTCCCGAACCATGCCGCTCACCTGTCTGCAGGTGAGGCCGGGGCCTTGGAAGCTGTGGAATCAGTTGGGGTTCTCAGCCGGCCCTGCGTGCGGGCCTGGGCCTCTTCCAGCGTCAGCAGGCGAGTTGAGGGGCCGCTGCCTGCGAGGGACTTGGGTCTGGGGAGGAGGCAGCGGCCTGGAGGGTGTGGAAAAGGGATGATGGTCAGCCCTGGGACCACCTGAGGCTGCAGGCAAAGCCAAGCGCTACAGCCCAAGCCCCGACCCCACAGCGTGCCCACCCGGGCTGGCAAGGCAGGGGACCAGGGCCAGTCAGGTGGGAATGGGTGGGCAACAGGCAGGTGAGGGGGAGGAGTGAGGCAGAATGAGCTGATGAGGAGGCAGCTCCCAGCAGCCAGCGAGGACAGCGGCTCTGGCTCCAGTTACCTCAGGCCAGAGGGCCCTCCGATGAGCTGAATCCTGACTGGGCTGGGGTCCCGGGCAGGGCAGGGAGTCTGGGAGGGGCCGGGGTGGGGCCAAGTCTGGGGACCTCCCACCTCCTCCCAGGTGGACCCATGGCCCTGAGCGCCCCCAGGAGCTACAAGGGGTGAAGGAAGAGCAGCGTCAGGGCCAAGAAGTGTGGGGATCCTGAGCAGAGGAGCTGAAATGAGAAGGAGGCTAGGGGGTGGAGGAGGCTGGGGCAGTCCTCAAGGAGCTGGACAGGCAGCCCATTGGCATCCCTGTAGGGATAGATAGGGCTGGGGGCCCACCTGCCCACCCACTGGGGTCCTGACAAGGGAGGGTCAGTAGCCAGGACGTGGGGGTGGGGGGTGGGGCACACCTGCAGGGTCCAGTCCAGCTGAGGCAAACGTGTCACTGAACAGGACGTCCACATGGGTGAGCAGGAACTCCACCACCACAGACTGCACCCGAACCTCCCGGAAGGCGGCGGCTCCACCCAGGCCCACTGACTCCAGCTCCATGGATCTGGAGGGGTGAGAGAGAGGCGTCTCCAGCCAGTGGGTTCTCACTGGGCAAGGTGGACAACCAGTAACACTCTGGCCTTCTCAAACTAACCTTACCAAGAACTAGGCTCTCAACCTTCTCTAAAATCTATATTCCCCCAAACATTTTGGTTACTGCAGTCTTTCCAGGAGTTCTGGTCTGGGGTTCTTCTTGGCTGCCACCACCCCCAAATCCTATGTCCAGTCTCTGAGCAAGCCCTGTTGGCTCCATCTACACGATCTCCCATCACAGCAGCCTCCTCCTGGTCTCTGCTCCTCAGCCTGGTTATCGCTGGTGGTGTTAGGTACCATCATGTCGGGACTGCCTCATAACTGACCTTCAGCAGGTTTTCAGAAGCAGTATACTGCATGGCAGGAGACTGTCCACCTTTCTCCTGTGGAGCAGCTTGTGGATTTGAACTGTGTCCTTCTAAATTGGCAGTGCAACTCTTACTACTAAACCACCAGAGCTCTCCCGTTACATTGCTGTTAGGTGCCATCAAGTTGACTACGACTCATAGTGACCTAGGAACAACAATCGCCCCACCCTGCCTTACCACAGCCAGAGGGAGGTGGAAGACCCAAGTTAGATCAGGGAGGCAGAGCTCTCCCCTGGCTGCACCTCACTCCAGAGAGGTGCCAGCTTACCGCAACAGGTTGGGAGCCCAGACAATGGCAAGGTTGCGGGCATGCATGCTGGTGTTGGCACTGTGCTTCGCCATGCGGGCCAGGTGTCTTAGCAGGTATTCTAGGGTCCTGGGAACGGGATTGAAGAAGGACACCTGAGCCTCGACTCTCCAGGGACACTTCCCCCAATTACCACGACACTCCCCACCTCTCAGGTTTACCTGTAGTGTGGTGGGGGCAACTGCTGGATGACGTCATGGACCCGCACCATGCGCTCCTCCTCCCTGGGCACTGACATGGCCTCCTGAGAGAGTGGACAGGCATGATGAGGGTGGGCCTGGCACATCCCAGCTGCCCCCAGCTCCACCCAGCACCTACACTCACACTGAACTTCCCATAGAGCTGGTATGTGAGCAAGGGGTTCGGCAGTTCCCGGAAATAGAGCTTGCAGAGGGAGGACACACTGTGGATGTCCTGCAGGAAGGCAGGGCCGGACAGCTCGGGGATCCTCTCGCTGTCAAACTCATGCCTAAAGCCACAAAGCCAAGGAGGAGGGGAGGGAGATTTTGGTCAGAGCTGACTTCTGATCTACCTGGTCTTGCTCTCCCTCTTCCTGACTCCAAGTGCCCTCAGGTGGAGGCAACCTTCTCCCCCAGGTTCTATGCTGGGCTCTTCTGAGACAGAAACTTACAGAATCCTCTCTACAAGAAAGCCTGTGTGAAAAATTGAGGGTACCCATTTTGCAGGAGAGGATACTGAGGCAACAGTTACACAGAGCTATCTGACATGGGAGCAGGCCCCATGCTCTGACCATGATGCTGTGTCATACCCTTTCAAGAGGCCACTGGGAAAGACAGGTCAAATCCCAGCATGCCCCTGGTCATACTTCATGATGCAGAGGTAGAAACTCCTGTCCACCTTGATCTCTGGCCTCATCTCTTACTCGTTCCTCTAGGTTTCTCTCTCTGGCCTCATGGTCCCCTGCCCATCAGCCCCTGGCTAATGTCTCATTCCTTCACATCTCTGCACTGATGAAAGCAGTTCCTCATCACCTCAGATGATCACTCATCATCCAGAGTAAAAGCCAAAACCTTAACAGTCATCAAAACGGCCCTGCAGTTCTGCTTCTACACATCTACTGCTTCTCCTTCACACCAGCTGTTCCATCCACTGTCAACATGCCACTCCCTCCCTGTCCTCCAGAGGTCTCCCAGGAAGGTGTCTCTGTCCACCCGACTTAAATGGCAATACTCTATCCTGATTCTGTCATTATTATCCTCCTTACTCCAATCTATTTTTCTCCATAGCACTGTCACTTTCTAGTATTATCTATCACTTTCTTGTATCTCTGCTCTAGTGGTAAGAAGTCCACCAGCTGCTCTGCAAGAGAAAGATGAGCGATCTCCTGTGTGATTTATGGCCTTTGAAAACCCACTGGATGGTCAGCTATGAGTCAGTTCTGACTCAAAGCACACGACAAAAACAAGTTTATAAGAAGGAAGCCTCTGGCAGTATAGTCCATAGAGTTAAACTGCTAATCCAAAAGTGGCACTTCTCTGGTGGCTTGAATCCACTGCACTTCTCAGGAGAAAGACAGGTAATCTCCTCCCGTGTGAGGTGCAGTCCCAGAAACCTGCTGACAGGTCAGCTGTGAGTTGGGACCAACCCAATTGCAATGAGAGCTTCTGGGCCGTGTGGCAGGGGTTTCTAGTTATTTGCTGTGTCTTTTTACCTAAAACAATGTATGGCAGATGGTCCTGCTCAGAATGCTGACTTTGACTGTTAGGGTCTCAAATGGGAAGTCATCGCCTCCAGAAAGCCCTAACCTGACCTTGGTCTTGGTCCACCCATGCCTTCCCAATTCCTGGTAACAACACAGAGCCCCTGGTCGCCATGCCACTCAGTCAGCGTCTGTGGAAGGGAGAGTGAGTTGGAGGGCTTACCGCAGCCTCTGGATGTTGGAGGACACACCCGAGAGCCGGTAGATTCCATCGACCACTCCGTGGGCCTCGATAAACTCTGAACAGCAGCGCAGCACCTGGGGTACTGGGAGAAGATCTGGGGGTTAGGGGTGGGCCCCATGTCCCGGCAGGAGGGATGGGGTGGTGGTCCAACCCGGGCCTCACCATCCTGGCCTGAGTTGCTGAGGTGCTCTCCCAGGTCGCAGCCGAACACCCTCTGCCGCAGGATCCCACGCTGTCGCAGCCGTTGTCGTGAGGGGCGAGAACGCATGAAGGTGCGGAGGAGGCCAGCCAGCTTCCCACGTGGCCGGGGCACTGCTGTGGGGATGAAGGCCAAGCACACAGGGTCAGCACGGCCACAGGCTTAGCAGAGCAGGAGGATGGGCATGTGCCCCTTGTTTCCATACCTGAGGTCAGAGAGGACACGCCCTGGGGAACTGGGATGCCACCTGGGGGGCCATCAGCATCTGTGGGGTGAACAGTGGGTAGAAAAGATGGGACAGCAGGCAAAGGACTCAGCAGGCAGTTTCCACTCCAGCCACAACACTCACCTGCCTTTAGCCCAGGACCTGGGCGCTCTGTGAACAGCTCCACACACTCGCTGGGAAAGAAACCAACCTGAGGAGGGTGCAGGGTCAGTAGCCGAGCTGCTCCAGGTTGACCAGTACCCTGGCCCCACCATCTACCCAGAGCTCACCTGGAAACCTCGCTTGCCCCGCCACCAACTCCGATCCTCTGTGGGTGGCATGTCAATCACTGAGACAATGTCCCCCACCTGGAAGTGAACAGGTGGGAGGAGTAGGGGGATCAAAGGGGTCAGGGAAGTGGGGAGCCCAGTGGAGGACTGCCACTCCATAGCCTCACCTCAAAGGACAGCTCATCTGGTGCCTGGGCTGTATATCGTTTGACCACGTGGGCAGCGGCCACTGCAGGAATGTTGAGCGAGGCTTCCTCACTGAGAAGTAGCCTCCGGCCATGATTGTCCAGCTGGGATGGAGAAGACAGGTGGCAGGGAGAGGCCAGGAGGTGATGTTGAAGACAAGGAAGGTCCTCCATGCCTAAGAGGCGTCCCCACCTGTCCCCACCTAAAGCCTTGTTTGTTCAGTACAAACTCCTAAATTCTTGCCCTTTCCAAACAGATCCCCTTCCTTATTCTTTCCCTGCCCAAATACCAGGACCCCTTCCCCTAAGTCCTCCTTATACACCCCTGTACCCCTCATCCTCCATGGCAGACACTGCATACTGATTCCCTAAATCCCTCCAGTTTATGCCATGATCAGCCAGGTGTTCTGTGAGTTACAGCCACCAAGATCCCTTTAAATGCTCAGCACCTGTACACACACACACACACACACACACACACACACTCATCTCTCACAGGCATGTGCCCACACAGACACTAAAATACCACTGCCTCCTCCACTCTGGCTCATTTCCTTCCTGTGCCTACACACTTTCCCGGGCTGGCTTGTGCCCCTCAGACAGCCCTCACTCACTCTCAACATTAAGCCCTTCTTCTGAAGCTCACCTCCATCCAGGTCAGCACAGGCCCACAGTTGAGGTTACTGTCCACCAGTCCTGACAGTGTCTCAAGGTATTGCAGCAACAGTGGAACCAGCATCTGGGGGCAGAGGGTCAGGATGAATGCACATCAGAGTCCTGGGTGCCCTCACTGCCCTCCCACACAGCCCCAGCTCGCTTCTGGGCAAGGATGAAATTCAGGTCAGGTATGTGATGCTGCCCAGCTGTTCAGTACTGAAACACTGTCAAATCGGTTGTAAATGTGCTGTGCCAAGCTCCCAACCCTCCCGTGGAAGCCCTCGGACTGCCCTTTGATCTTGAAACTAAATGAAGCCTGCCTCTAGAACTCTTGCTGCAGATCTGGGGGTTTTCATGCTGATTGGTCAGGAGGTGAGACATACCAACCAGTATATAAACATTTATCTACCCTTCCAATCCTGTTGGCTTCACACACCACCACTGGGGAAACACCAGTGGCTGAGGCAGGGGCTGGGGCCACAGCAGGTTACCTGGGCAGCCCTGGCACCTTCTGGGGGTGGTGGGAGCTCTGGGAGACAAGAAAACCTCCGGTCAAATATGCACCGGTGAAGGTGGGTGTCCAGAGAACGGAAGTCATCGTAACTGCGGAGCACCGGCCAGGAGCGGCCCTGGGGGAGCAGGAGGGACAGAGTGGCCCGATGATCCCTGTACACCGAGCTGGGGACTGAGATGATAGGTAGAGGGGGCCTCACCTGACAGGTCACCTGCACCCCAAACACCAGTTCATTCTCCCCAGACAGACTGGGCCCTTCGCGCTCTGGAGACAGCAGGAGCTGCAAGGGAAGCAAAAATGGGTCCTGCTCTTGTCCTCATCCTGACCATTTCCAGACTGGGACTGTCTGGGGACAGGTGTGCCTCCTCTACCTGGACCTCCTCCAGGGCCAGACCTAGTGATATCACAGGCAGAGAACAGGACTCTGGCACAGAGCAGGTTCCCCATAAAAAAAGCAGTTAAAGGAAGATATAAATGAATGACAGCAGCTTTCTCCTTCAGCCCCACCAACTCATGCCACTTCACAGTGCAGCCCAACCCAAAACAGGTTTCAGGCAATTGATTTTGCATGGGGGGTGGGGAGGGTGGCATTTCCCCTCCCCCACAAGTGCAAAGTCCTCCATACCTGAATGTGGCCAAAGTCAACATTCTCATAATGAAAATGAGCACAATCAGCCAGCCGGGGGAAGGGGCCTCGAGGTGCTGAGAGCCTGGAGAAGGGGTAATGCATGACCCATGGTTCCCTGAGACAGGACTCCCCTCCTAAGCAGAACCACTCCCGCAGCCCTCACCTCTTGCCAGGCTTCCCCTTCACGCTGGGCCCCCCTGTTGAGGGCAGGGGCTGCACTGAGCCCTCCCCAGGGCCATCCAGGCTGTCAGTGCTTCGAGCCTGTGGAACAGAAAGAAGAATCAGAGGACGCCAGAGATGAACATTGGTGGATAACAATGGGAACTTTGTTATCTCCTCGCCTGGGCCTACAAGCCTGGCTTGCTCCACACACCATTCTGAGCATACAGTAGGTGGGTAGTCAGGCAAGAGGTGAGGGCAGGCAGGCTGGGGTGAATTTGCTCTGCGTGTGTGGTCTGGGGTGGAGGGGCGGAAGGAGCATGAGTTGAGGAGGAGACAGCCAAGGGTTAAGCAGGAGAGGAGAGAAAGAACTGCTGGTCCCAGCCCTGCTTAAAACCCAAACTCATAGAGTAGCAGTCACCAATTAGGTTTTCCTCCATGTTGAGCAATCACAGCCCCCATCCAGCTCATCAGTCTTTCTGCTTCCAACCTTTTCCCAGACCACCCTCCCCTCTTGTCCCCACCCCCCAGCCTCTCCTTCACAAATGCTGGAGCATTTACACACAACACAGATTTGCCTCTGCCTCTCTGGAGTTCCTGGCCCTTTAGTGGCTCCATGCTTGTCCTCGAGATCAAGTCTGCACTGCTTGGTCTGACATTCAAAGGCCCTCTCCAGCTCCATCAACCCCATTACCCCACTCTCAGAGCTCGTCTTTGTGAACTTCTAAGAAACTACGATCTTCCTCATTTGCCTCTCACTCATACTTCTGACTTACAGCAATCTTCCATCAGACGTCCAACAGTCTTACAGAAGGAAATGGCCCACCTTTCTCCCTTGGAGCAGCTGGTAGAGTTGAACCATGGGAGATCTGAGTAAGGTCTTTTGACTTGCTATGGCATCAGAGCTTGCTTGGTTCCCCTGCTTGGGACAGTTCTCCTATCCTTTCACTGGGTTCAATGATTTTTCTCCTCAAGGGCGACTTCAGGCAGGATGGAGTCTCTCTCCATCCCACAGGATCATTCTATCCCAGCCTAGATGGCTCTGACCATTTCCCTCACTACTCTGAGATGCCTTGACTACTCTTGATGTCAGTCTCTTAATTGGTTCATCTCCCCCAGAGGACTGTGACTTCCCCTATAGCAGGGCCCCATTACTCAACACCGCTGGGCATGGAGTTGGTCCTCCACACAGCCAGGGTTGTGCCACATTCCTCTCTGGGTCCTGGGTACCCAGGGCTAGCTAGCCTGTGGCATAGCCTAAGGTGCTAAGTAACAATCAGATGAATTCATTAACCAGTTGCCAGATGGGGATTCCCCAGCCTAAGGCCTGGCTTCTCCTGCCTAGGTGCCTTGCATCCCTAAATTCATTCTTGGGTTTCCCCATCAGGGTCTGTCCATGAAGCTCCCCCCAGGGGGGAATGGGATATGACTCTGACTCTCTCCGTGCCTGGAGCACGGGACCTGAACAGAGATCATCTCAGTGAGCAAATGAATGAATAAATGAGCGGGAGCAGCGTGGTGGGAGAGGGTGGAGAGGAGGAGGGGAGAAGAGGACAAGGGATGAAGCCAACTCCAGGTCCTGGTAGGAGATGCAGCCTTGGCCTTGGGGTTGCGGTGGGGTGAGGACGAGGGGAGGGCTGAGGAAAAGGTCCAGGGGGCTAGTTCAGAAAAGGACTAGGATTTATGAGAAGGAAGGGAAAAAAAAGAAAAGTGTCAGGCTGAGGATGGAGAGGGTGGGGGTGGGGCTCCGGCATGAGAAGAGGCGGCTTCAAGAGGAGGGGGCTAGGCCAGAGGGGTGGGGGCTGGGATGAGGATGCAGAGGATGGAGCTGGGATGGGGGCTGGTCAAGGATCCACGAGGGTTCATCAGGCTTCTAAGGGGGCCACTGGAGGGGCCGCAGGTCTTTCTGGGATTAGCCCCTGCTCCCTGGTGCCTGGTCCTTGTCCCCCACCACGTTCGTGGCTAGGGCTGGCTGCATGCTGAAGGGGCAGATGAGGGTGAGGGGTTGGCGTTGACCAGGCCGGGGACTAGAGGGACCTCAGTGAGGGGTTAGGGGCGGCGCAGGCCGCTGGCTCGGGCGGGGCCGGGGGCGGGGCGCGTGGGGCGGGGCCGCGCGCGGACAGACAGACCGACATGGGGATGGACGGATGGATGGCCGCGTGGGCTCCTCACCACCATGGTCGAGTAGCCTCCTCAGGCTCCGGCTGCGATCGACCCTTCGCTAGCCGTCCTCGTCGCTGCCGCCGCCGCCGCCATGGCGACACAAAGGGGAGGTTGCGAGCTGCAGGCTGGCGGCTGCAAGCCCCGCCTCTAACGGCTGCCCGTGGCAGTGGCGCGCGCCCTGCGGGGGCGGGAGCAGAGGGGACGCGACCCCTCTTATTGGCTCCAGCCTTGGCCTTAGGGCGCTGCTCCACCCACCTGCCAGCTTTTTACTGGCTTGGGAAAGGCCTGGTCCCTGCGGCCCCGCCCCCCGAAGTTTGACAGCGCCACTCCCATAGCTGCTTTTCATTGGCTCTCATCCCTCTCTGGAGACACACCCCCAGGTCCTTTATGCATTGCTTCCAACACTTGGCTATTGGAAACAAGGGGCCTTTTCCATCTTTTCAGGGTCACACCTCTAACACTTATCTCTGGATTCGTCTGTGGCTTCAGGGATTGGCCTCACCTCGGAGAGACTTTTCATAGAGTCCTAGTGGTGCAGCAGTTAAGCATTGGGATGCTAACCAGAAGATCAGAGGTCACGTCAGTCGCTCCAAAGAGAATCATGTAAATTATGTGCTTCCATAAGGGTCACTTCCTAGAAACTTTATGGAGCTACTCTGTCCTATAGGGTCGCTGTGAGACAAAAATCGACTCGTTCTGTTTGGTTATCCTCTACACTCATCATCAATTCAGATCCTGACTCCGCCCACAGAATCCTTAGAAGTTGCCGGGCACGATTTTCAACTGCTCAGGAGATATACCTAAGGCAAAAATCCAAGATTTTTGGAAATTGGCCTCACCCTACCCACTAGACATTCCCTTTGAGTCTGTCCCTATTGCTAATTAGATGTTACATTCCAGTCTTGCGTCGTTTTTTCCAAACAGGTTTAACCTCAATATGACCAGAACATGACCAGACACCTGCCATAAAGCTGATTCCAATCATTCCACGCTGAGCCAAGCCCAGATAACACCCATAAAAAGGTCCTTTTCAACAGGGTTCGTCCACTGGTCAGCTTAAATTGGCGACATAAGAAATCTTCTACTTTATGAAGGGGAATGTAACATCAGGATCGGAAGATTCATCAACAATCTGTGCTATGCAGATGACACATTGCTTGCTGAAAGTGAAGAGTACTTTAAACACTTGCTGCAGAAGATCAACGACTGTGTAGTCTTCAATATAGATTACATCTCAACATCAAGAAAATAAAAATCCTCACCAATGGGCTAATAGGTAACATCATGATAGATGGAGAAAAGACTGAAGTTGTCAATGTTTTCATCTTACTTGGATCCACATTCAACAACCTTGGTACCAGTAGTTAAGATATCAGAAGATGTGTTGCACTGGGGTAAATCTGCTGTCAACGACCTCTGCAAAGCACTAAGGGGCAATGATGTAAATTTAAAGACCTGATCCAAGCCATGGTCTCTTCAATTACTTGCTATGCATCTGAAAGTTGGACCATGAATAAGGATTATAGAAGAATCAATGCCTTTGAGGTCTTATGTTGGAAAAGAGAACTGAATATGCCATAAACTACCAGAAGAACAAACAAGTCTGTCTTGGAGAAGG